ACGACGCTCGTTATCTTTCGCTATCTCTCTTCCTCTTGCCCTTTCTCCCATTCCATCACGAACACATGTTCGCGGGAATTATTCACTAGATTGCATTTTGAAATATTCCGCCCAAACAGAAAACAAACGGCCAATCCTGGGGGCGTGCGAGTATATAGCGCGCAATTTGCCGACTTTTCTATCAACCGCGAAATTCTTGTATCCTCAAAAGAATTAATTCGAGGCTTTGGCGAACGAGCAAGATCCCACGCACGACCCCCATGGGATTCTTGAGCCTCGGTATTCACTACTGCGACGAAGCAGAGCCGTAGCAGCAGTAACTCGCCATCTTGGATCCGTCAAAGTGCGACGAGATGATTTCCGAAGGTTCCTGCATTGCGAAAAACGTCCTTAGATCGTGACCTGCTCTCGAGAGAGTGAGAGGCCTCTGGCTCGGATAAGCATCAGGAAGTCTCCTCCAGACTCTTCGTGGGCATTCAAGCGTGCAGGACCTATGAAACACGTCCATTGCTTTGTCTCTCGCAGTCCATACTCATCAATGAATAAGTTTTGAAGAGTTGATTTTGCTTTTGGTGTTGTTAGGGCGAGCCAGGAAAATCGAGGGAATGGCAACAGACATGGAGGAGTCTGATACGGATGAGCACGAAAAGCCTGGGCCAGCCAAGAGGCAGCGGCTCGCTGCTCAATCGGTCGTCAATCATAATGAAAACAATCAGATAGCTGTCAGTATCTTGTCCATTCCACTCTTCTTTGTTTAAACAATTTCATCCCTTTGAAGTTGTTTTAATGTATTTTACTTTATCAAATAGTAATTGTGCTTAATTGTACATTGTCAATGTTGTAAATTACTAATTTAAATGGTATTTGTACTTTTAATTACAAGAGCTAATTACCAAGCTTTTATAAACGAACATCCTGTTTTGAAAATACGCTGACATAAAAGATAGATATAATGTGAAATAGATAACTTTTATTGCATCAACTAAGACAGAATTATGTAATTGATACACTACATTTTTACGATAAAGAGCTTATATTAAAATAAATAGTTTTCACATTGTTATGTCAAATTAACCTATCTTCTCAACAGGATGTAAACATTATGTTACACATTTGAAAATTTGATGAATAATGAAATTATCATGACTTAAATAATAATCGATTTAATTCAAATTTTAGATTTTAATTATTTTAATGATCATTAAAGTAAAATATGAATAAATAGAGGATATTAATTAAATGTTTATTTGAGATGTAGTGTAAGGGGAATAAGTCGGAACAATATTTTAAACAAATGTATTTGTAATAGATTTATAACTATTATTTTAGCAAGAGCCTGAAAATCATGTGGAGGTTATCGATGAAGAAGAAGAAAGACGCGCTGGAGAAAAGTTGCGCTGCTGGCAGACCTGTCAAGTTGCAATGGGTGTTATCGATAATTTCATGAACTGTGTCTTTGAAAACTGTATGATGACTCCTGCGTATCATCTGCAATACGATTCTGACCTTCTTCTAGATAATGAAATGGAAGATACAGCTGTAACAATGGCCATTTACAATCACGGTTTGGTTCGTTCTCAAAACTTTAGTCGACCACCCTCTCTAATCAGTGAGAGATTGTCCAATATTCCTCAAACATCAATACACACTCAAACATCATCAACAACTAGATCTTCGGAAACGCTATTAATAACTGATTCAGAATTAGCTAGTACAAGCGCTGAAGGTAATCGATGTTTTAATATTACTATTTATTAAATTTATTAAATTCGTTAGAATACAAAATTAAAAAATAAGTAAAAATTTTTCATACAATTATTTTTTATACAAAGGTGACTGTTTAAATGACACTTATGACAGTGATCATCAACAAGACTTCCTAGATCGAGCTGTTGCGGAAGCCATCAAGAAGAAAGGATTGAGTACATTAAGTGTTGATTACGGTTGAGATGCTTATTACACAATTTTTGTCTAATGGTTAATTCATTGTTGTTGTTGAGCAATGTTTTGACTAAATAAGTGTGTGTGTGTATATATATATATATATATATATATATATATATATATATGCATGCATATAGATACTCGCATATATACATACATATATATATATATATATATATGTATGCATGCATGCGTATACGTATGTGTATATAGCCTCTGTGTATATATACTAAGTTTACATATTAAGTTTCCTAAATCCTAACCATCAATACATTGATTTTTTTCTTATTAATGTATGTCTACATTTAAGATGAACTTCTATTTTAAGAAGAGTCCGCTATTTTAAACATTATCAACACTAATAGGATTATATCTTATATCTTATATTACTCCAATACAAATATATATTGCTATAAATTTTTGAAAATCATGTAATAATCTGATTTTCACTTTCTTATTAATGTTTTTATTTATTTATTAATAGATAAAATATTAAAATTTATAAAGGTTTTACCTCAACGATACAGTGATTTATTTATTACAAGATTTTTTTTTATAAAAACACTTAATAATAAGGATTATTGTTTTCATTTTAAAATTTTATGTTGTTCAATAAATATTCTTTATCTTATAAAAATTAAGAATATGATAATCATTTAGTAATAATAATATTATAATGCTTTAATCATTATATATAATCTTTATTATATTAAAATTATTGCTTTATTAAAAGTATATAATACTTTAAAAAAATTTAACAATTAAAACTATATACATGAGTAATAAAACATAGATATTTGTTAAGAGATAATTTAAAATTATTTAAGAATTAATCAAGTATTACAATTTTGAAAAATTATACAACTAGTAATAAACATTGTGAAAGCAGTTAAATTTCAACTATACATGATGTTCTGAAAATTTACAGCAAAAAATAATAATGTATGTACAGCCATTTATTTGATAGTCAGTAAATTTGTATTTTAATGAGCATAGACAAGTGCCAGTAGTCTTGTCTATTATATTCATAATGGAATAGTCTTTGGTCAGGTATTTTTAATCTCCTTTACCCATTGACGGATAACTATTATTATTCTAACTGTAAATTATCTAGAGCCATATATATATGACTATACATACATATATATAAACATATATAGGGAGCAGTGAACTATGAAATGTTTTTGTATTGCTCCATTGACTGAAATTTTGAAAAAGTAAAAATTATACATATTATTTTAGTGCAGGTGATGGCGGTGATTTGATTTCTGGAATTGATTATTCGCGCAAAAATATATCCTAACAGTTCCAGGCAAGCTGAGTTTATTGTACGCGAATCTTATTTAAGTTGGAAGCGAGAAAAATGCATATATGCAATTATTAGAACAAACAATAACGTATTGTAATTACTTATTATAATGTAGAAAGCCGATATTTACTAATAGGATTAAGACTGTCAACCTACCTCGCATGCAGTCTATATATAAATTAACAATATTTAAACAGAAAGAAAAGCTCACGTAATCGCATAAGTGTACGACTGGGGTCGAATTGCTTCTCTCTCTGTCTGCCTTTGTGCGTGTGTGCGCGCGTGTGCTTGAATTTGAAAAGAACTGCACTGACATCTAAACGTTGAATTTAAGATGAAAAAATTGCCCATCGCAGCAAATTAACTGTAAATGTAAAATCGACGATCAATTTCGACATGTTTCTTGGATATACGGACGTCGGGTTCCTATTGGGAGATAGTTATAAGTTACAACAGAGTAACTACGTGAACGAGAAAAGGACAATAACTCATAATTCGGAATAATACGTAATAATTCACGTATGTCAGCAATTCAAAATTTAATTGTTGTTCGCCAATAGTTGAGTTACGTGACCATACATATTATCTCGCTATTCTCTCTATACTCTCCTTTCGCCTCTTTTATTGTTCCTCTCGACTTAATTCCCCTATCACTTGACTAAATGATTCGAGATTCGAAGCACCGACATTGATCTGTAAACTTTATCAAAATATTAATTTATGCGATAACAAGCGCACCACTATAATGGCGTGGACGCATATGGAAGAGAGAGAGAGAGAGAGAGAGAGAGAGAGAGAGAGATAACAAACCCATAAATCCATATGGTATTGATATTATTATTTTGCATTGATGAACAATATATAATTGATTCAGATTTTCAATCAATTCAAATCGCTCGCTCTGTAATAAACTTGAGTTTATGCAAAGAAAACTAACATTCCTTATAATAGATTATATAAACTAATTTATTTTATTAAATATGTGTAGTGGTTTTTTTTATGCATATGAAGATTTAATATTTTCTCCAATTGTCAAATTTAATAATTGAATTAACAGAGTGATAGAATATAAATATCACAGGTTAAAAAATTACGTTTATATATTACAATAAGTTTTCATCTTTTTGTAAGATATAAAATTCATTAGCACATAAATGAATATGATAATAAATACAAATAAATATAATCAATTCTGTTTAATTCATATTAAAAGTTGTAAAATTAATGTTTGAGAAATGAAATTAAGCGAATAGAAAGTATTTGTATTTATAATAACATTAAAATAAAAATTCACTTAAGAAATTCAATTATCTGCTAAATATTTCAAAAAATAATATCGTTAATAATATTATGAACTTAATAATTCTAAATACTTTTTGCTCGTGACGATTACATTTATTTCTCTTAAGATTCAAATAAATTAAATTTGATTTTGACATTTATTATGACAAATTCCATTTATAATGCATAATAATATTACACCACTTTTCTGAAAACACAATAAATCTATTTAATTGTATAAATTGTATCAAAATAATTAATAAAGAAGTTTTTGGCACACTGAATTTATTTGAAGAACAATAAAATAATTTAATCAGTCCTTTACAATTAACATTACTACTCATAATTTGCTCTTTAAATAACTTTTTGGTTTATATATTAAATAAGGTACTTTTTCATTTACTTTATAGTTTCCAAAAAACTTAATAAATGATCATCTATAATCGATTAAATATCATAAGTTGATTTTCAATTATAGATCTGAAGAATAAATCAATTATAAAGTGTTAAAATTTCAAGACAATAGAAAAGAATATTTATATTGATTATTTGTTAAGTAATTTTATTTAAAGCAACATATTAGTTGGATCTTTTAAATTTTTATTGCGTTAAAAATAAAAGATTAGTAGTAATAATAGCATTTTCATAATTGATAACAATGAATATATGATAATTTATAAAGTATTTTTAGAAAATCATTAAAATAAAAATGAACTTTATTAAGTAAGCGAATAAATGATAATTTCATTGAAATAATTATTGTTTAAGGTTTTCCATTATGATTAAATAGAAAAAAAAACAAGTATTGCCGATGGATTTCATTCGCTTTATAATTGTTTTTATTTTGTAAAAAAGAAAAAATATATATATATATATATATATACAAACAGCAATTATCTTAATAATTATGGTTACGTGTTTCAAAATCAGACGTAATTGTATCATTGTATGAAACAATTTACCTTGACTAAACGAAATAATATTTATATCTTTGTATTTGAAGCTTGTAATAAATTATTCTATGTAAAAATATATATATGTATACCGTACATGTGATTTACTTTTTTTTAATTAAATATAAATTTTTGTCTAGATTGAAACATTCTCTAAACCTAGTTTTCAATAACTTTGCCAGTCTTAATAAATACATGTTATTAAAAAATACATAATGATTTAAAAAACGTATTTTAAGTCATTTTTTATTATTATTGCGTAAAGATGATGTTCATTAAAAGAATATTACAATATATATATATATATATATTTTTTTTTTTTTTACTGTTTAACGCAAGATTTAAGACATAATGATTTATAAAGTAACTTATGAATGAACTTACATATATAAAGAAAAGATGAGACGTTATTTATAAACGTGTATATTGCATTAGTGTGCTTAGTTGAATTGTGAAATTTTCAATTTTCGATTAAATTTTCGCGCTGTCTAGCAGGTTCCTCATTTTACAACGTATTTTTGCGTAATTGGCGGAGCTTTCGGTCAATCGCGTTTCGCGGTATCGCGGCTCAAGCAGAAAAAGATAGAAAATGTTCTACTCTCAAGTGAAGGGCGAAAAAATGAAAAGTTATCCATGGCGGGGATAAATATGGGCGAGGGGGGAGGTGGAGAAATATGTGCACAGTAGCAGAGAGGAGTGAGTTCTTCTCTTTTTTATCGTGTATCTTTCGGCTGTATTGGTTGATCGTAGTACAGTCACTTTTAAAAACGTTTACGAACCAGCACTTATTTACATTGATAATTTTTTATAAATCGTGATTGTTTTTAATATAATAACGGCTTCTGCTTTAATCCATAAAGATAAGAAAATTTATATACTTTATCTCTATTTTGTACAGAAATACTAAAATATTTAATTTTCTGTAAAAAAAAAAAAAAAAAAAAAAAAAAACTTTGCACGGAATATATGAAGGTCATAAAGGAAAAATATTTTTAAACGATAGTGTAGAGTATAATTAATTGTGTGGAAATACTGTTCTCTTTCAAAATTATTTATAATTGATTATTGGGTACGATTTGTCTCACTATTTATTATACTTTAAAAACATGCAGGGAAATAAAGTAAATTGAGTAGATAAGCAAAATGATTAAATTCTAAAAGTAGGTTTGTAGAAATGAATGGTAACTTCAAGAAAACAACTATATGCTGATTAAACAACATTATATCGAGACGTCAAAGCAATTAAGCAATTTTTATATTAAGATTATTACGTGTTAACATTATTAGAGTAGTATATTCAGTAATTTTATTAATTATATACATTTTTTAATTAAAATATATTTTGAATTTAAATACATTTTAAATATACATAAATTCATCATTGATGTACAGTTATACGTAATGCAATATTAGACGTTAATTCAACAATGTTAATTGATAAATAAGGTTACGTAATAATTT